TGACCCCGTGTCCCCCTGTCCCCCCAGCCCCTGGGGTGTCCCTGACCCCGTGTCCCCCTGTCCCCCCAGCCCTTGGGGTGCCCCGACCCCGTGTCCCCCCAGCCCCTGGGGTGTCCCTGACCCCGTGTCCCCCTGTCCCCCCAGCCCCTGGGGTGTCCCTGACCCCGTGTCCCCCTGTCCCCCCAGCTGCCCCCCGGGCTCATCCCGCCCTTCTCGGAGCTGGTGGCTGCGGATCCGGGGGCCCGGCCGGGCCCGGGGCCGCTCCTGGAGCGGCTGCAGCGCCCTGGAGCCTTCCTGGCCTGTGCCCTGGTGCGCACCGGGCTCTTCCTCGAGCACTTCCAGGTCTGGATTCAGCCTCACCTCGTCCCTGTTCCATCATCCTCATCCTCATCCTCATTCCTGTCCTTTTATCCTCGTCCCTGTCTCATCTTCGTGCTCCTCATCATTATCATCATCCTCATCCCTATTGCTGTCTCCTGATTTGTTCCTCGATCCTCATCCTCATCCCATTCCCATGTTCATTCCTCTTCCTTTATCCCCATCCTCATCCTTATCTTTTGATCCTTGCTTTTCTATTCTCATCTCATGCCCATCCCTGTCCCCTCATTATCATCATCCTCATCCCTATTCCTTCATCCTTTTCCTCATGTTCATTCGTGTCCTTTTATCCTCATCTCTGTCTCCTCACTTTTGTGCTTGTTCCTGTTCCTCATCCCCATCATCATCCTCATCCCTATCGCTGTTTTCTGATCTGTTCCTTAATCCTCATCCTTGTCCCATTCCCGTGTTCATTCCTGTTCCTTTATCCCCATCCTTATCCTCATCTCTTGATCCCTGCTCTTCCATCCTCATCTCATTTCCATCCCTGACTCCTCCTCATCATTATCATCATCATCCTCACTCCTATTCCTTCATCCTCTTCCTCATCTTCATCCCATCATCCGTCCCATCCTTGTCTTCTCCTCCTCATGTCCATTCTTGTTCCTTCATCTTCATTTCTGCTTCCATTTCCATCCCCATCCCTGTCCCCCATCCCCTGCTGTCCCCCCTGACCCCCGGTGTTTCTGGGACCCCCTGGCAGGTCCGGGACCCCTCGGAGCGCCGGACGTTCCTGCAGGAGCTGCCCCCTCTCCTGGAGTCCCTCCCGGGGCCCTTCCGGAGGCACAAGCTGCTCCCGAGGCTGCTCGAGGCCCTGGAGCTGGGCAGCGCTGATGCCAGCGCCCTGCCCCCGCTGCTGCAGGTGGGACCCCCCCAAAACACCCCCTAAAACCTCAGTGATCCCCAAAATCCCACCCAGAACCTCCCTGTCCCCACTGCTGCAGGTGGGACCCCCCCAAAATACCCCCCTATCTGGGGTGCAGCTGGAAGGGTCTGGGATGGACTGGGAGGGACTGGGAAGGACTGGGATGGGGCTGGGAGGGAGTGGGATGGACTGGAAGAGTCTGGGATCATACTGGGAGGGATGGGGGGGGGGTCTATGGGCCTTTGGGGGGGACTGGGAGGGGTCCATGGGAGTGTGATCCCTGGTTTTTGGGGGTCCCTGGGGGTGTTCAGGGGTCTCATGCCCCCCTCCCACAGCTCGAGGAGTTCATTGAGTTCCTGCCTGAGGCCACGGTGGATTCCCAGATTTTCCCTCACGTTGCCCACGGGTTCCTGGACTCCAACCCGGCCATCCGCGAGCAGACGGTCAAGGTGGGCCCCCAAAATCATCCAGGACCCCCACACTTTCTGGGATTCCTCCAGAAGTTACCTGGGAATCCCTCAAACCACCTGGAGACTTTTCTAAAAATCAAATAGTGACCCCAGAATCCACCTGGGGAGCCCCCCAAGACAGCTGGGTATTCCCTGAAAGGGTGGGACTGAGTGGGGGCCCCCCCCCCGAAATGCGTGGGACTCTTCAATCACCTGGAGCCCCCCCCAAAATAACCTGGGAACCTCCTTCCAAATCTACTTATGGGCCCCCAAAATGGGTGAGACTCCCCCAAACACCTGGGCACCCCCAAATGGGTCGGATCCCCCCCAAAATCCCATCTGGGGGTGCCCCCTGATCCCCCACCTCTGTTTGTCCCCCCTCCCCCAGTCCATGGTGCTGCTGGCGCCCAAGCTGGGGGAGGGGCGCAGGGGCGGGGAGCTGCCCCGGCTGCTGCTGCGGGTGCAGGGGGGGGACGCGCTGGGACCCCTGCGCTGCAACGCCACGCTGTGCCTGGGGCGCCTGGCCCCCCACCTGCCCGCCCAGGTGAGCTCTGAGACCCCTGAACCCCCCCCAAAACACCCACATAACCCCCCCTCTGTGCCTGGGGCGCCTGGCCCCCCAC